AATGAGTCGGTTCAATGATCATATCTCTATATGCATCATCTATCTATGTGATTCAGTTAATGAGATCAACTAATCTTTATCCCATAAAGACAATCACATAAATATTGATCTAACCGGATTATTACTGTCCAAATTAATAATCCTACGATCAAGAACAAATTTAGATTAAATTGTAAGAGACTTTGCTATCATTATCATGATCTCTATCACGATGACAAATCTCAAAATTTAATCAAGGACCTTATCAAATTAATCAAATAATTAATAATAACTATGATAAAAGAATGTCATATATTTTTATATCAAATAACGTTCACAAAAATATGTTCAAATCATCAAATATGAGACTGGATCTAGGGCATATCTACTATATCCCTAACATTTATTGGTTTGGTGTAAACACCCAGTGCGAATAAGTTTTTGCCCACGAAAAGCTTTTCTTTAAAAAGTGATTACACAAGTAATATATCCGCACAATTTTGTTTTTACCTATACCCTATACAGATAGAAACCGAAAATAAAAAATTAGAAAGAATTATTAAAAAGGAAAACAAATTGCATGCTTAGTGTTTAGTAAACTGTACTCCATTATTAGCAGTGATATATAAAACTTTTTTATTTAACTTTGCTAATTAATGAGTCACTTTATTTTCGTTTAGGAGTACTTTGTTTCACAAAATTTAGCTCCCGCTTGGCCATAAAATTTGAGGGCTTTTTAAAATTTTATTTACAAATATCTATTTGTTTATAGATTTTAACTAATTTTTTTTTTTTGTATATTTTGAAAACAAAATCTTCAAATCCCCAAAACAACTCTAGAATAGATTTTGAAGTTTTTGAAGTTTTCTACTCACAAAACTTCAAATTCTTTTTAAGTAAAATGCATGTCCAAATATAATTTCAACTTTCAAAACCCTTTTTCATCTCATCTTCAAAAACCAATTTTTTCAAGTTTCAGCAAAAGATTTTTATTTTTTCTTTCATTTACTTAGAGTACAAATGATATTCAATTAGAATAATTAATCTTGTCTCGCTCTCCTAGTCAGATGTCAATCTTTCAAAATAATTTTTGATATTGAATGTAATCCGATATGGCTGGTGTAAGTTAAGATCCATTTTATTAAAAAACTGATATAAAAGATTTGTCGCATCTTGTTAAACCTTTTGTCAACTATGATTAGCTCAGCTGGATATGACCCTTTTATCATATAAACATTATTTAATCATTGTTTTTTTCCAATTATATATGGATGAATGGATGGATATTTTAAAAAATCCTATACTTATCTCTATTTTCCTTTCATTATTTTTTTTAGTGCTTCAATTTCACGGTATATAAATGGTTTAATTATTGAAATTTGAGATGAATACAAAATCCACTTTACTCGGATAACATAGTATTAGAGGGATGTCAAACGAGCGGATCATGTCGAATATGGGCGGATAAAAAAATGGATAATGCAGAAACGGATAAAATATCCGACACATCCATTTAATATAGATAGAAAATTATCGATATTATCCATGACTTTTTGAATGTGATCATTTTTGGAGAATTTTTAGTCTTCCAAATTTGAGAAATTCTCAATTTAAATCTTTGCAAACGTAAAAGCTAAAGTCATTGGTTATCCATTAAGTATCCATTTTTTTAAGTGGATAATATGGATCTTACCGATAATTGACTCATTTTTAAAAAGTTAATTATCCAACTCATTTTTTAATGTATAACATGAATGACTAATTATTTTTTAATCCATTTTGCCACTACTATATAGTACTAATATTGCAGGCTGGCTGCAACCAGAGGCGGATGTAGTGTTCTACTATCGGGTTGAACTCATAACTTTTGACGCGGAGTAAAAATGGACTTTAGGCCCTATTATCGCGTATGAATCATAATTATTTGTCAAAGAAGAAAACAAAAATATCAAGATAAAAAATACTAATGAAGTTGTACTTCGTATTCAACTTCTAGTTAAATGTCTCCTAATAAGTTCTTTTCATTTTTTTTTTCCTTTTATAAGGGCGTCGTAGATTTACTAATGGTTGATCTATTGGTTAATACACAATTCATTTTACTCTTATATTTTTGTTAGAAGTTAACTTAAAGTATTAGTATGTGAAAGTACTTTTTTGGATGTAAAGAATAAAGCAAGCAATATATGTGAAAAAAATTAAAAGAAATCAACATTCATCCCTCAAATAATAATGCAATTTTCATTAAAAAAAAAGTACATCAAGCTAATTCACAAAATAATAGCACACTGGGGAATTGTTGAAAGGGTATCTCGGTACATAAAGTACTACGCATCCAAGCAGGGCTCAAGAAACAACCGCACCCCAACGACTGCTTTCACGGCTCAAATACATGACATATAGGTGACACGTAGACAACTTTGATATTGCTCCAAGGTTCCCCTTCCACGTTGGGAAATTATTTATTTATCTTTTTTGGAAGTTGAAATTAATTAAGGATAAACCTCAATTAAAGATCTTAATCCAAGAATAGGAGTAACTTTATAATCACTAAAGCCAGCATCTGAAAAAAGCTTTGCCCAACCTTTTTCGGATCTTTCTCTTCCAGTGACTAAAACCATCATTAACATATCAAAGAAAATTTGAGTTTCAATTGATTCATCATCTCCTATCTTATTATCAACCATGATATCAATAATTATCACTTTTCCACCTTTTTCTCTGCTTGGTATTGCTTCTTTGCATTTCTTCAATATTTTCACACTTTCTTCATCGCTCCAATCGTGCAATATCCACTGTAAATAATTCATATCCCAATAGTTAAAGGAAAAAATAATTCCAATAATAATAACAATAAATTCAGCGTAATTCTATAAGTGGGGTCTGTGAAGGGTAGTGCGTATGAAGATATTACCCCTACCTGGTGGAGGTAGAGAGGTTGTTTCTGATAGACCCTCGGCTCCGGAATAATATAGTTACAATATAATTGAAAAGAAATTTTATTTCGCTTTTCAGTGCCGAACCTATTTACTAATTATCGCTTTTGTTTTGCATCTTTCTTCTGTATTTTATGTTGTTCCTGGCTTTTTTATGATTTTTGTGGTGATACTGATATTGTCTCCTTTTGTCTTTTTGTCTTCTTTTTGTCCTCTTGAACCGAGGGTCTTTCGGAAACAGCTTCTCTATCCCTTCGGAGTAGGGATAAGGTCTGCGTACACACTACCCTCCCTCACTTGTGACATTTCATTGAATTGTTATTATTGTTATTATATAATTGAAAAGAAATACGATAATGAAAAAGCCATGAAAAAAAACAATAATAAGAAGCAGTAACAACATCATGATAATAAGATAACCTAAGGTAAGAGACAAAAAATACTCCAATAGTTAAAAGGAAAAATAGTCCCAATAGTTGTGCAATATTATGTAGCTGGTTGACCTATTCTTGAATCATAGAGTAAATATATGATTAATACATTTTTTTTGGGTGAGAATGAGACATGATATAGATGGTCTCATTTTCTATTTTCAACGATTGATACATATGATATAGACTAACTCATTCTTTATTTTATTTTACATTCTATTATAGGTTAAAAAATCTTGTAATTATCAACGCAAACAAACAAATAACATCATACCTAATGTGATCCACAATTGGGGTCTGGAGAGGGTATACGCAAACTTTACCCCTTATTTTTATGGGATAAAGAGGCTATTTTCGATAGACCCTCGACTCAAAATCTATTGCACCAGCCGAGAAACGAACCTGGGTCTATACCGTGGCAGGGTACTATTCTACCACTAAACCACTTATACCTTAATTATTAATGTCCGGTGCACTAAGTTTCCGCTATGCGCGGAGTCCGGGGAAGGGCCTGACTACAAGGGTCTATTGCACACAACCTTACCCTGTATTTCTACAAGAGGTTGTTTCCACGACCTTAATTATCAATGCATATATTGTAAATATTTTATGAAAAAATTACCTTGAGAAGAAGAGCATCAGCAGGGGGAATGGACACAAAGAAGTCTCCTCCAACATAATTCAAATTCTTATTCCCCTCAAGCCCTTCAACCACATGAGGAAGATCAAAGACAGTACATTGTAAATCAGGGAAAGCATTAGCAATAGATTTAGCTACAGTTCCAGTTCCACCACCTACATCTACAATAGAATTTAACCCTTCAAAAACATCCTTAGAATATTTTATAACCACATTCATTACCAACTTTGCATCACTAGCCATAGCATCATTAAAAAAATGATTAAGCCTAGGTTCATGTCCAGCATAATCCCAAAATGTTCTACCATGAGCAGTGTCAAATGGTGTAGGATGATCATTCTCAAACCATTCACTAACATGATGCCAAGGTTTCACTAAAATTGGATCTAACATGGCTAGTAAAAAAGGTGTCACACTTAACGGCTCGTCTTTTAATAAAAGACGAGAAGGGGGTGCGAGGGCATAGCCTTCGCCTATGCGCTCGCTTTCCCCTTCGTTTTCTTGGATTCTGGACTTGACGAAGAATCCAGAATGGATTAATATTCGCATTAAACGTCGTAGGTGAGTGGTTTTGGCTTTGTTGATTGAAAGGGCATTGGCTAATTGATCAAGAGTCATTGGTTTGCCATGTTTGTGGATTATATCTGGGATGTTTAATTGAATGGCTGATTTGAGTGACATAGAGTTTATGAAACTGAAAATGTGGTTCCATATGTGAGTTTGAGCATGTAGAATTTCAGTCTCATGCTCTCCTACAATTGGCACCACCATCTTAGAAATTTGTTCTAATTTTTGTTGAATGACACTTACTCTTTAGACTTGTCCAATTTATATAGATTAAGGACCGGAATGCAGACCAAAAAAAAAAGATAGTTTGGTGCACTAGGCTTCCGCTATGTGCTGGTCCGGGGAAGAACCGGACGAAAAGGGTCTATTGTGCGCAGTTTTACCCTATATTTTTGCAAGAGATTGTTTTAACAACTCGAACCCGTGACTTCCTGGTCATATGACAACAACTTCACCAGTTACGCCAAGACACCATTTCACTGGGATGCAGACAAAAGAGAATAATAATATAGTGGGCTAGTCATGTTTGTGGAATCATGATATAAAATATATTATTATAGATGTCCGGACAATTGGTATTTGATGTTGTAAATTTGAGTTGATGTCACACTGACATGGGAATGCCCTTAAAATATTGGAAAGGAGATTTTCACAGAATAAAATATCTAATAGTGATTGGGATTGAAAGTGTCAATGTTCTTGATTAGTGATTGTTTGCACCGAATTTTCGACACAGAAAAAATCAAAAAAAAGAGGGAAGTACTTTTATTAATTAATTTGTGATTATAATTCTATTTCTCCCTTAATTTTTCTATGATTCGAGAGCTGAATAGTGTGTTTCTTGAATGTAAGATGATGCGGACTTTCTTGGATGTATCTGATATCCATAAAAGTGTGTTGTGGATCTTCTTGAAGTATTTGATTATCAATAATTATCCGACCACATCTTGATTTCTTTGTGAATATCTCGTGAGCTTATGGAATATTCGAGAATTCATTTTTGAGGGAATATATAACCCTTTTTATAAGAGTGACCTAGGATTACGATAAAGTAACCTCCGAGTTAGAGTTTTGGTAGAGTAGACTCCAAGCAACTCTAATAGACTCATAGAATTTCAAAAGTGCATAATGATCTAGTAGATTCTTGTACTTGTCCCGATTTGTAGGCTATTAGGCCTTTCAAGAGTAGTGTCTTGAATTTAGGATTTAACCCAAATTTCGTATAGGCTTGATTCATTAAAATTTTGACATCTACAGTAATAAGTATGGATGAACCTGTATTTACAATTTAATATACAGTCATCAAGATAAATAAACAGTAATAATAAAAATTGAGAGAATTTTTATTTATTTATTTGAGTAATCTTATTATCATATCCAACTTGTAAGTAACAATATTTAATTTTTTTTTGGCTAATAATATTTAAAGTTTCAGTACGGCTAATTGTGTCAAACGGGATATTTAGTTTTGTAAATCTTTTTTGAGTTGATATCATACTACATGACAATGCCCTTTAAGATATTGAATAGGAGATTTTCGAGAAGTTTTATTGTGTGTCTCACACAACTTACATTAGTTGTGTGAGGCACCTTTTTGTCTCACAAATTTGTGGACCCCAATCTTACACTTCTGGGTCCACAAAATTGTGAAACAAAAAAAATACTTCATATAACTAGTGTCAGTTGTATGAAACACAAAATAAAATTTTCTGAGATTTTCACATAATAAATCTCTAATCGTGATTAGGATTGATATTGATTAAGTACTTGATTAGTCAACTCTTCGAAGCTTAAACAAATGGGCTATTATGGGAGACAAGATTCGGGATTTAAAATCTATAAGTTTAGTCTTTATAGTTCTTAACACTGAATTCATTGTACTTTTAAAATTATGGATTCAAACTAAGTTGTTATAATAATAATGAGTTCTTACACATAAATTTATACTTCTTGTAAAAAAAAATAGGATTCAAATAGATTCGGTGCTGCAAAACTACAAGGCAAATATCACTTTAAGCTCATAGCAGAAACTACTTACATCTCGTAGCTGCAAAAGCGAATAAAATTTATATATTTTATATATATATATATATATATGTAAGTATATACTTTTTTACTATTATTTTTAGAGCAGTTATACAAAGTAATTTTCCCAAAACTGCATCCGCCTCGACTATGGGCCAGAATGAAAGCTAAGCACTGGCCACGTCCCATCTACTTGATTAGTGATTAATACGGATTAATCTTTAACAATATACAATAATCAAGATAAAATAATCAATAACAATAAAAATGGAGAACATAGTACATTTTCTTATTTGAGTATTCTTCTAATCATATTTGACTATTTCTAACAATGTATAAAGTTTCGACGTGCATAATTTATAAGACAGTTTAATTTAAGTTCCTAAGCTCTAACTCATATGGAGTAGTACAGAAAATAAATTTAAAAAAGGAAAATAGAGAAGTTGGCCATGTGCAATGAGTGAAGCACATCTGTCTTTAACTGATTAGCTTCCCATACTGATTAAATTCTTTAAATAACCTTTTTTACTATAGTCATTAAAGTCTCAAGAGTTGGTATTAATTTACATAAAAGGAAAATTGCTAGTACAACTTATGATAGTAGAAATGAACACTGTTTCACATAAGAGATGAACTTTAATTACAACAACCAAATTGGAAAAATGACATTGTATAGTCGCTCTCAAAATAATAGCCGAAAAAAATATATTTTTTGTATATATATATACATTCTGTATGTTATATACAAAAAAATATACAAATTTTATACACTTTTTCGGCTACCGAATATAAATACTTTTTGGCTAAAAGTGAAAAAGGCTCTTACAAGTTTATTAGATATGACAATGATCAGGGGTCACCAAAATTTCAATGAAACATTAAATTTCAAACTCATAATTTCTAAAAACATTTAATATTGAACTCATTAATTAAGTTTAATCACTGATCTCAATAGTTTGATAACTTGAAAAATAGTAGTAATATGCTTTTAAATGGTTATTTGGGATAATAAAGAGTGTATTTTTAGTAATGCATCTTAATAACATTTGTTGAATGATTGCAGGTTTCTCCTCCCAGCACTGAATCATCCTTCCATGCACCACATTTAATGTGAGAAAAATACGATGACGCACACTCTAGTTGGCTACAATGGCAAAGCCAAGATTTTCACTAAAGAATATCAAAATATAACAAATTAAATATACCAAAAAATTAAAGAAAGTCAACGTATAATAAATTTTCGTAAACGTGAAGTTGTTACTCTCACGACAAGAGGATACGGAACCAATGTGTCCTACAAATAAAATTCATGTGCGGCCAGATAATAAATATAAACTTCCAAAACAATTCAGCCAAATCCAAATGCTGGCCCAAAACCTACAAATTCTGTACCATTCAAATTTGAAAAGACATTTTCTTTAAGCAATCATATTAAGTACGTTAGGTAGGCATTTGATGCTTATCTTGAATGAAACATATTCACAATTTAAAGCCCATGAGTTATTTTAGAATTAAACTTATTATATTTTTAAAAGGGATAATCCATAAAATAAATCCGTGAATTATACCCGAAGTTGTTACGACACACATTATTTTTGCGGGAGTCTTATTACCCCCTAATTTTTTTTAAAGTGGAATAAATGTCACCCTAACTGATGACATGGCATAGAGAACCAAACATTTGGCAAGCGATAAAATACACGCACTGCCATATGTAATTTCGTATTTTTTTAAATCTATCATTTTCTTCCTTTTTCTTTTCTTTTTAATGCTATATGTAATGGAAATATTACTTTGTATTTTAAAAGTTGAAAAGGACAATTATTTTTGTATGAACTTGAAAAATTATTAGAGGTGTTGTCGTGGAAGTTTTAAAGTTGATATTCAAGTGCTAGTCCATAGTTCTATATAAGATTCGAAAAACAAAAAAGAATTTCAAATCCACCATTGTTGAACCTTGAAAAAGCTTAAAGAACAAAAAAATGAGTTTGTCAAAATTCTTAGTTGTTGGCTAATTTGATCACTGGAGTATGACGATTATGTTGTTGTGAAGTTGTAGTTGAAATTTGATCTTGATTGGTGCGGATTTGGCCGAGGTTTTGTTGAATTTTGACACTAAAAATTAGATTTGGAGCTTTGAAGATGGATGATAAAATGGAGATGAAGAGCTCTTGAAAATCAGTTTTGGAATTAGCACGTGACCATTTCGTATAGGTTAAAGCCTTTTTTTTAAGTTCTCACACGCTAGGAGGAGTTGTTTTCACGTAGTGCTCCACGTCATCAATAAATGTGCAAGGAATTACAAAAAAAATTACGGGGTAATAGGACCCCGACGAAGATAAGGTGTGTCGTAGCAATCTCGGGTATAGTTGAGGGGGGATTTTATGCATTATCTCTTTTTAAAATTATGGAGTCATATTGTTTACCTCGAAACTATGAGTAACAATTAAACTTGTTTATAGTTTTAAAGATATGTAATTTAGTTCAATACCAATTAATAATCAAGAAATCTAACGTATAAATAAAAGAAGTAAGTAAAATCAAACCAGTGTGCAAGCCAATATCGACCTCGAGCTAAGGTGGCCTCCAGGTAGGTCAAGAACAATAAAGTAAGAACAATAAAGTTAAAGAAAAATTCTGATGAGTAATGAACAAGAAAGCAAGAGAGTATATTTTTTTGCCAATGATTGATGATGGTTACAAATAATTGGTGTCCCCTTTATATAGCAGGGGAACCCTAAATAAGGTACATTTCTATTTACAGTAAGGAATCTTATTGGGACAGTTGTCTAACCACCTAGTACGGATTCGTACTAACTCGTACAAATCAATTCCGAAATTTACGCCATGATCTTGGGGACGTGGCTAAAATCTTGCTCTTTTTGTTACAAACCCATAACAACATCATCTCGGGGTTGGTCATACTCGACTTCGGTGCTCATCGCTTACTTCGATCCTCGAGCCTTGTACTCTATCATCGGGCATGAGTGTAAGCACGTGATTTTTTCCCTATATGAGAATTACTCCCAAAAAATTCAAAAATAAAATG